GTTACATGCAGCGCAGTTTGTTTTGCTCTGATGGATATTGAATAATCCTGGTGGATTTGATTTTGTCGACACTGGAAAGCACTTATCTATTTGTTTTTGCTGGTACACATACAGCCAGGGTTACCCAACTAGCGAACTTTGGGAAAGCATTAAGGAAAAGCACTAAGGCGTTGAGCCTAGGTATATGTAAGGCTTAGTGGGATAAACACTTTACTTTCTGTTGTGACGCAACATTTCATGGAGTTCAGTCACTGGTTGTAATTCAAAAGCAGTTATGTCACCTAGATGTTGCTTCTGTGCGCACAGTTGGTTTATCTCTGTTTTGTAGTCATTATTCAGTAGCGCTGCATGTTACATACTTTTATTGGGTACTGTGAACATTTGCCAGGCGGAATAAAAGGTGTAGTAAAGTCGTCTGGAATCAATGCCATGTAATGCAAACGACGGTTGGTGGCAAACGACTTTTTCATTGGTAATTTTTCTTGCTTTCTTGAAGCGCAGCTATATTGTAGTCAGGGGGAATGCTGGAATAACAACTTAACTACAGATTTACGGAGAGTTCATAACTACAAAAATCTATAGCAATTTTCGATTTTTTTTGCGAGATCAAAAAAACAATTCATATCAACAATATACAAATAGAAATAGCACTCATGTTTTCTTTCATTTCTTTTTTAGTGTTTGTTGAATGCTGTCTTTCATATCATAGTTTTCGTTCCTGGAAACTGCCCGGCCGGGTCCCGGGCTGGAAATGTGGCTTTAGCATAAAGAATCACACTTACATGAGATGACGATGAACATGACTCCCCAGTAGAAGCTGAGGATCCAGCCCACGATGATGATGGCCAGCACGATCTGCACGAAGGCTGCCAGCAGGCAGTACGAGAACGGCTTCGTCTTCGGCTCGTCCTTCATCCCCGGCACCGGGCAGCACAGCGTGAAGAACGCCGACAGGAACGTACCTGCACAGACGTGGGGAAGAGTTTGTTTGTTTGTTTGTTTGTTTATTTGTTTATTTATTTGTTTATGAGAGAATCTACAACAGCAAACAAGAAGCCATAGGTGACAATCCTCCGTGAAGTTTTATATTTTGCAACAAAAATAATCCCAAGCGTCAACGCCAGACCTACTGTGCAGACATTAGGCAACGGTTTATACAATGAGGGCGCGTCACAACCATAAAACATATTAAAAGACCTAAATCCATTACTGCTCTCAGGGCGTGTAAAGATACTGTGCTTCAAGTTCGAAGTTCATTTTAATTACACACACACAATCATTGCATTCACATAAAGATCGGACTATCATGGTCGTGTCACTAGTAACAAAGACAGTCCCACCGTCTTACCGTGCCTGTTACTTATTAAGCGCGACTGGCAAATTCCAGCAACAGTTGCGGCCGGCCAGCACCGCGAGTGTTACTGCCGTGGTACCACTTATCGGCCCCTCACCATCTGCCTGAAGTTCCACCCCCCCCCCTGCTATTCCAAACAACGGGTTTTTCTGGACCATTCCAATTTGCCTCATAATTGTAGGGGTGCATCTGCAATATTACATCGACCGCGAAAGCAGCAACGGCAAAAATACACATTCGTGCATCAACACGGGCATGCCCGCAGACGGCGTATAAAATTGCATGCGGATTACACAAAGAGAACCCAGTGTTTTGACTGCGAACACGAAAAAACAGCTCTTCACAACACTCCGTCCGGAGGTCCTGATCTCCTTCACGGAGTAATAAATGATAAAAGACATGCCGCGGGTAGAAGGCAACCTGATATCACTCTCCCCCCATCTTAAACAGCACATATATCAAGGTAACAAAGTAAAAGAAAATTGTGTCTGAACAGATGAGTAATCATGCCTACTAATGGTACATCATACAACGCACTAATCCCTAAGAGTACTAAAGATTCACGGGCATAACATGTAGGCTTTAGTACTAACAGTCACAAAAGAAAGTAATAAAGAAAAAAATACTATACACCACTACGTTTTAACCTCCTTTTTTTAATACCTCTTTTAAGCGACGGTCACAACTCGCCGTACGTGCTTCTGCGTGCTGTCTACGTGCAAAAACGTGGGCAATCGCACGGCATCCGTGCGTGGTGAGTACCACCTCCGTACGGAATCCTACGGATTTGGGAGCACGCAGACACGCCGTAGAACTTTAAGTGCATGTAATACTTTTTCTACGTGCGGTCTGCGGATTTACCACCCGTGCGTGCGAGTACGTGCGACGCGCGTGCCCCGTACAGCCTATGAGCGTGCAACGTACGGACTCCGTGAGTCTAACTTCACTATTCTCACGTGCAATTGCTGTACGGACAGCGCACGAAGCATGTGCGTGCCACGCACGGTGCTTGCGTCATCCGTGCTTACTCCTCACTTCCCAGTTGACCTGCTCAATGACCACGCAGAACACACGTGCACCATACCAGGTGCTCCGCACGTGCAACGCACGTGCAACGCACCTGATTTCTACAGTATATAAAGACGACTTGACGGGCGACTGCCAACTGTCACTGTCTCTGCTGTCACTAACTGCGACTGTAT